GCACGAGGGGCGGAGTGCAAGCTGATGCCATGGCAACGAGACTCCCATGCGATTCACACAAGTCTTGCGGCCCTGCCTGACGCGAGGATCACGGGGCCGAACTCCTGGAAGTTCTGGCCGCCCTTCTCGTAGACGCAGCCCACGCAGGCGTTCTTGTCCGTCACGAGTTTGAAGACCTTGGCCTTCGTGATGATCCGCGCCAGGTCCGTCTTCTCCGCCACCTGCCAAGAGTTGAGCCCCAGCCCAGAATGCTTCGAACCCCCAAGCCCCGTGAGGCCCACCGACCTTCTCCAACATCTGGATCAAGGCGTACGTGATGGTCATGCCTGAGTTTTTAGCACATGTCCGGCCTCCACTGGGTCGCACGCTTCCCAAACCAAGTATCTCTGAAACCTGGAGGACGACCATTCTTCCAAGACCAGAAATATGCGGTGTCGGGTTTGCTGGGAGACTTACATAAGTCCTTCAAGGGGGGGCTCGGGTGTTTGCAAGCTGGGCATGTAGATTTCGCGTGCTCGGTGCCCTTAACTCCAAACCGGCTAGCGGTTTCATCTCCCCTTTCCAATGACTCATGAAGCAATTCTGGCAATCAGCAGTGACTAGGTAAGACTGAGAATTTAACTTCGAGAACCGTGCACACACATGCACATGCACAAGCACTGACACTAGCAAACAAGATGCCTTAGGAGGGAACCATGATGGGATATCACTACGAAGTCTTCTGTACCCCTTTGTGTCAAACTCCAGAGCCCAGATGCCCGGGAAGCGCTCCTTTCCTCGGTGCGTTCGTGGCTGCGAGTGGCCGCCCAAACCTGGGAAGACGAAACCATCGAAGGAAGGGAACCAGAGGGCTCCGCGTGCAGCTGTACGGAAACGGGACCCTCTGAACCCTCGACTTCAAGCAAACACGAACAAGCCTTACTTAGCCCAATCCTGAAACAGCTACTACTAACAAAAGGAGATGACGTTGGAGTCCTCAAGTCCTCGGTCAGGAGTCCTCCGGCCAGGGGGCGCGCCACCAGAGAGAGGTCGAGATTGAACTTCTCCACCAGCCAGTCCTGGGCTCTCCCGGCAGAAGGTCCCCGTGGGATTCTAGGGTCTGTAGAATTTTGTGGCTCCTGGTTTTCAGGCTCTGCTGGGTTCTTGGGGCTCAAAGCGTTGGAGTGTTGAATTGGAACTGAGGTCCAGAGTTTGGAATCTTGAGGTTTCAGGGGTTTGTTCATGCTGGATGCAGATGCATTCTGAGGTTTGATTTGTTAAGGCTTGAAGTTGGTGCTGATGTAATGTAACTTCAGGATGGGGACGGGCTATGTGGCTCATCAACCCACGGGACCCCTGGTTTTCTGAAGCCCAAACCCTAAGCCGCGACCCCAAACCTCAGGTCATCCAGGCATCCACATCAGCAGCGCTGTTATCGCAAAGCAGCCTCAGCCACCATGCGGTGTTTCAAAAGCACCTAACTACAAGCAAGGTTTTGAAGGCAAACAACCTGCGGAGGGGGGAGGCCTGGTAGGGATTGAAAGTTTCATGTTGATGTCCTTTCTTGTCCACAGGTTCCTTCTGAAGCCACGGCTTGTCTTGCTTTTCAAGATTCAGGAGGAAGAATGAAGGAAGCCTTTTGCTCTGAGTTTCTCACTTGGCGAGCTCCGGCTTCTTCGCGCCGCCCTTGAGGGTGTCCTGTGCAGACTTATGCGGCTTCGCTTTAGAGTTTGAGTTTGAGCTTCAAGCGTTTTGGATACCGGATTTCGGTAGGCTTTTGGTGAGGGCGAGCCCAGATCTTTTTGTGCTATTTGTGCTCTTTAACAGGTTCTGACAGCTCGGCAGGCACATGCAAGCTTCAATAGGGATTGGTGTTTACCCGAACAACTACGTGCTGCCGACCCGTTGGGAGGCTCGAAGCCCGCCAAACTGCAAACCCCTGATGTAAAGCGTCTGCAGCAAGATGACATTGCTTTTTTTTCGGAGGCCTGCGTGAAGATGTCGGCGTTGTCTGGAATGCCTTTGGCCTTCTGAGTCTTGGTGCCTCTCAAATGCCGAGTTCCGCAGAAACTGCTGGAGAAACAGCAAGTACTGTAAAGGCTTCAGAGCTGAGGGAACCCCGCGGCGCGTCAGCATGGCAACAACCCCGAAAACGTTCATTAGAAGGGTCTGCTTCAACCGTAGATGTAGGCCGCACAACCACAAGCTCTTAAACCGACGGCGCTGCGGTTTTGGGTGCTGCTTGGGCGATCAGCAGGCTTGGCATGTTAGTGGTTGAGTCAGGTGTTCCGCTCGCACAGAAGCTGTTATGCACGGTTTTTCGGGTTACGGTTCAGGGCTTTAGGGTCTAGAGCCAAAGTTTTTGCGTAAGCGCTCTTGGTTAGATACAGGTTCGGGATCGGTTCAGAGATGTGGAGCCTGTTCTGCGCTTTGGAAGCTTAGAGGCCTAAAGTCAAATTTGTAGGAGGACGAGGAGTCTGCTTGAGCATTTGCGAGCACGAAAAAGACTGGCATCTGCCAGCGCCGGTCATGACTCTGGGCTTGGCTCGTGCGTTGGGCATCTCATGCTGATGCTGGGCTTCTTCTCGCCATTGGGTGCACCCGATGCTCAGGACGGCTGAGCTTCGGGTGGTAAGTGCCACAGCTTTCGCTCATGATGCTCGAGTTCTTTCGGGGCAGCGTGATAATCCAGCTCTTTTTGGTGCCTCTTGGTGCGTCTCAAGTTGTGGTATATGTGCCGTGTATGCTCATAACGCTGGACTTGGGTGGCGCAGTGGTAGATATACCTGCCATGGCTGATGCTCATGATGCTCATGATGCTCAGCTTCTTTTTGGGCCGTGGCAGGTATACCTGCCACGGCTGATGCTCCGGATGCTGGGCTTCCTGGGCTTCTTTTGGCATTCTCATCATTATGTAGCGCTATGGCGGGTTTTGCCTGCCACGGCTGA